CGGCGCATTTGGAGGAGAAGTGGGCGGAGTTGGGCTGTGTCGACTGGTCTCAGAATCAAATACTATAGAAACAGCCATGATGGTGAGGGTGGTGGTCGGAGAAGGGGGGGGGATCGTATAGGGGAGCCTTCTTAGACTGATGGTGGTGATTGGGGGTCGCAAAATTTTTGAAAAAGTGCGAACGTCACGGTTGATCTTGGTCAGAAGGGACAAAAAAATTTTTACTCTGAAACTTCTGTTACGGAGGTTATCGAGGGTCCTGATCACGAATATGAGGTCCGTTTTTGGCGCTGGCGCCAAATTGGCGCCATTTGGCGCCAGATGGCGCCACGACTGAATCTCACCAAATTCGCTGTAAACTTGTAAGGAGGAAGCCTTTGGAGAGTCGAGGGCTCAAAGTGGATAAGCCACTCACTCCGTGATCTCACACACTTTAACTGCTGCCACACGGCGCTTGGTTTACCTGCTACACCGCAATCACTCCCTTTCCCTAACCTTAGTCGAAGGCGTTTTAGATGGGAGAGCTCGTGAGAGCAAAAATATGCGTTAAAACAGCGCAAGCGACAGAAACGAATGTCATATTCGTAATCAGGGCCCAAATAACCCCTATATAGAAGTTTACAGCGAATTTGGTGAATTCAGTCAGGGCGCCATCTGGCGCCAAATGGCGCCAATTTGGCGCCAGCGCCAAAAATGGATCAGATCATATTCGTGATCAGGACCCTCGATAATCTTATAGAAGAAGTTTTAGCAAAAAAGAATTGGTACTTTCCACCCCTACTAGGGTTGTAATAGTGCAATTAGAGCCGGCGTTATTTTAGTGTAATGCATGAGGCGTTCAAATCGTAGCAGACATTTTCTATATTTCAAATGGTTTAAAAAAAAGGTTACATCCATACTTGCGCACGCGAACTGGCTCATCCACCTTGAGCTTTGCCCCCAAAATAGACAGGGGCTATTTCAATCTGTAGGAACTGTTGCACCAAAATACGAGTATGTCAACCAAACTGGAGACCATCGAAGTGAGCCATTCCGAGCCCTAAAACCCTAGGCGAAGTGCCAGAAGAGGTTGGATACACAGCTATATGACATACAAATTTGGTACGCTTGGTAAATGTTCACAAATGAAGTCAAAAGACAATTTCTTCGAATTCTATTCTCACCTTGAATTTCGAAAAATAGGCTTAAACCCAAAAAATGCCTCATGTACGCAAAATGCGTAGAAGTTAGGACTCATTCGAATCAAAGGCCCAGTTTCCAAGATAAGTAGCGGTCAAAAGTGTTCGCCGGAACGAATTTTGAGGCATTATTTTTCTCGCTTGAGCAACGCCCTTAAAAGATATATGTTTTTCTAGTGTTTTTATATCTTCAAGTCTCAAAGAATCAGGATATTCAAAAGAAAAAATTTCGAGGTCACCATTGATTTTTTCTGGAAAAAAGCGAAGCATGAAAAGACTCTTCAGCAGGTTCGGCGAACACTTTTAACTGCTACTGTATTTCAGACAATTAAGATGTTTTCTCATTTGACCACAACAAGCACTTTTACATTGAAGAACCTCAAGCAAAAAAGTATGTTCAGGTTTAACCTATCTTCAACAAAATCGGGTATCTTCTCGGCTACGTACGACGTTGCCGTTGCCATAATGCTCATTCCACTGTCGTACTGTGCTCATAGAGGTAAGGAATAATACGTGAGGAACTAGACAAATGGGCAACTGTTGAGAGTTCGCTTCGCCGTTGTGGTGCAGAAGCCGACAAAAACAGAGACGCTTGGGTATTTTTGGCTGTGCATGTAGCTGTTCAGCAGACAGCGAGTCAGTTCATGTCTGTATACCGTTCATTTTATGGCATGAATTCAAAAATTCATTATTTGGTTGACATTACGGGAGCAAGTTCCACCGGATACGGTACTTCTCAGCAAATATCGAGAGCGCACTAGTTACCGCATTCGACGTGTGGTGGGACTGTCATACACCTCAAATTTCTTCGATATTCATTGATGCTCAGAAACCAGTGGTTGTTGAAGTGGTTGGAAACATAGCTATGACATATTTGGTACCCTTGGCAAATATTCAAAAAATGTAGCAAGAGACGACTTCTTCGAATAATATTTAAAGTTCACTTTTAATTTCGAAAAATTTTAGACAGTAATCAGTGCAAAACTTATAGGCATGGGTCGTGGTGCGGTACTTATCCTGCTCTTATCCTTAGCACTAGAGCTATTCTAACACAAGAGACGCAGAGCACAATGAACTCT